TATTTTTTCTCGTGAGTTCTTTCACGATATTATAATATGATGTCCACAACAGAATTTACATAAAACGCCAGATCTGTATCAAATCAAATTTGTCTTAGAGAGGAAGTAGAGGAGTCATTTAAAATTCTAGCTTGATGTTTTCAGTTGCATGTGTATTAAGTCAGTGTTGAAGTACAAGGTCCTGAAGGCTGCAATGATAAAAATGATTAATTTTTTCTCTTCAAAGTTTTGTATAATTTTATTTTAAAGAACAGATTTTCATCCTTTTAGAAACTTGGTGTTATTTTTAAGGTTTATTCATTATTTATGTATATGTGCCTGTGTGAGTTTATGTGCATCAAATGCTTGCAGTGCCCATGAAGGCCAGATGAGGGTGTTGGGTTCCCTGGGTCTGGAGATACAGGTAGTTATGAGCTGTTTGTTGTGGGTGCTAGGAACCAAACCTTGGTCCTCTGCAAGAGCAGTATTCTTAATCATTGAGCCACCTCTCTAAATATTGCATTTATTCTTTAATGTGTGTGCATGTATGCACAGTGCCACTGCACATATGTGAAGGTCGAAGAACAACTTTCAGGAGTTGGTTTTCCTATCATGTGGCACTTGGGGATCATCACAATTAGTGGCCAGTGTCTTTACCCATAGAACTATCTTGCCAGCCCTTATTTTTATCCTTCCTAAAGTGACATGGTATTTGAATTTACATACTTTGGTACATTAAATCTCAGCAAAAAATTTTTACTGAGAGAGAGAGAGAGATTACTTTTCAATAAAGTATACAGGGAATCTGAGAGCAACAGGGATTCAAATGGAAATGTTATTTCCACTGTGGAAAAAGTGACTTTATTGCCTGCATATTTGAACTGCACACTCCACGTACCTTTTGGAAAAGAAACAGTATTACTTCTTGGCCAGCACCACATCATCTTCTGCTTTATATCTGAAATGTCTACTGGATGTAATTAAGAATAGGCATCTGTCTTGAGCTTTTATGAAGAAAAATCTTATTTAAACTGCCAGAAATAAAATTGTAGTTAACAATGTAAAGGGAACGAAAGATGGCATTTTCTCAGTCCTCTTCACTTACTTTACTTTTTAAATAACTGGAGTAGGTGACAGATAATACCTAATTTTTTGTAAATTATTTAGGGCTTTTCTATGTTCCTCAGGTTCCCTAATGATCACACAGAGGTTAATTTTTTATGAATTACTGCCTAGACCTTAAGCTAGGATTGATCCCCAACTAGATTATAACTCAGTTAACCTATTTTTTTCTGTTCTATGTCTGCCACATGGCTGGTTACCTCTCCTTAATCTCATGTGTTCAACTTCCTCTGAATCTTGATGGTGAAAACTCCCACCTGAATATTTCCCAGAGTTCCCCTCTCTCTGGTAAATGTCCCACTTTTTAATTCTGCTTCAGCTTATTGACCATCAGATTTTTATGGACACAGTGCACAATTCTTTATTTTAGACTCAGTTGGCTAAATTTGGGGAATACCAAATGCCAAAATATACATGCTTTAAGACAAATTTGAGCTATCACAGAATAGCTGAAACTCATGTATGTGAAACTGAGTGGTTTACTTTGACCTCTGTATGTACTCAACGTCTAAGGATTGTCCTCTTAGTTACCTAACTCAGGGTGCTGTGCTTTGTCATTTAAGTTGAGAGGTCAATATATGAATATGCATCATGTGCATCCACTGTGGTAGATGCTACAGACTCTGTGTTGCTACTTCTTAATACTACCATGTATCAGTAGTGAAGTAAGGCTCTCCTGTGCATGACCACTGTGGGCATCACAGAGATAGTGTTTTGTTGGACAATGGACAAGACCCTGTCGCCAAGGGTAGGTTATACAAGCAGTGTGGACTGAGTAGTCACTACAACCCATTTGAAGTTGAAGCAACCCAATGCTGTAACAATTCCATTTTTATGTCAAGCATTCATCCTTCAAGTAAAATCTTTGGTGTGTACCATTGAGTGTGTTTATTATACATGGAGAATAGTCTGTCTGAAGAAGGTTAGGAGGCATGGAGATATGACCTCTCCTTTCATGAAAAGTAGATAAGTAGTCACGTACATTTTATGAAACATCAGATAAAGGCTGTGCTTTCTCATCTGATGTGCTATTTAATATAATAACCATTATCCACATGTGCCTATTTGAATTTAAGTTGATCAAATTTTAAAAATGAATTGATTTTCTAGCCCCACTCACCACATTTTGAAGCTGGATTTTATCTGACATCAAAAGTAACTCAAAGAGAAAAGTTTTATTTTAACAGAAAGGGTAATATGTAGGAGGAGCTAAGGTGGGAGGAGTAAGGAGGGGAAGAGTAAGAGTAAGGAGAGGAGGAGAATGAGAGGAGGAGCTAGGAGACAAGGGGGGGGCATGGAGGCAGATGTTCGCGTGTCTCCGCCAAAGATAGTTGGTATATCTAGGTTGGGGATTGGTTACACTTCTGATTGTATGGGCATCTTGTTATTACGCATTACCAAACTTATAAAGCCTTTGATTAACATTTAAAAATAAATAAATAAATAAATAAATAAATAAATAAATAAATAAAGTGACTCAAAATCCTACTTCACCACCCAACCCCTTCTTCAAAGGTAATTTCTGCCTAATTTGATGCATATTCTTCTTGACATATTTATAATTTTTTATTTTATAAATATGAGCAGTAACATTTTATATGAAATTTAACATACATAGGCCATCTATGCATACTTACACACATCATAGAATAAAATCAGAATACACACATGTAAATTACTGTGTACCTAAGAGTATGTTCTGAGAACATTTATGGTTCAGTATATGTATGTTTTGTTCCTTTTAAATGATCATATAGAACTACATAGTATTTACATTGTCTGTTACTCCACCAAGTTTCTCCGACATATTCTTGTTTCTATTTTTCCTACTTAGTCACTGTTGAACAGTATATATTCTTAGAATGAAATTGCTGGATTTAAAGACATGAATGTTTTAAAATACAAATTGGTGCCCATAAATAGTTTATAAAGGAGACATTATACCATGATTTGTATGATTGTTTTTGAGACTCATATATGGAAGCATTTCTTTGAAAACGATTGCTGATACCTGACATTTCTTTATAGCAAAAAACAACTAATGCTGCTAAGGTTGTTGGAGAGGATTATACATCATTTGCAGTAAATTTAAAACAGTCCTATGAAAATCAGTATGAAAATTCCTCAGAAAGCTAAAATAGAACTACTGCAAAGCCTACTAGAATAGTCCTGGATATGTGCTAGAAGAAATCAACCTGCACAGCATAGAGATGGCCATATACTTTTTCTTATTCTACTGTCATTCACAGTAGCCAAGGAAGGATTCAGTCTAGATGCCCCTCTAGAGCATAAAGGAACGATTAAGGAAAATGTGACAGATGCTGCACAGTGAAGAATCAGACATAGAGACGAGTGGTTTATGTCACTGGCAGAGAAGTGGATGGGATCGGAGATCACCATATTAAGCAAATAGGCTAGACCTAGGAGCGTGCGTGATACCCAGAATGTAAAGAAGATATGAGAGTAGAAGCTGACGTGTTAGATGTTAGACTCAGAGAAGGGAACAGGGCGATGCCCAAAGTGAATGTGGTCAAGGGTTATGTGCATGCATGATGATGTCACACTGCAACTCAATATATTATACAGTTAACTTATACTAATAAAAAACAAAGTGATTGATTACCATGTAGGCAGGTTCATATATATTGGGTTGTGTGTGGCGTGTGTGTGTGTGTATGATAACTATAGTACCTAAAACATACATATTTGAGTATTCATGTAACAAATCTCAGTCGTGTGTATTTCCTGTCAACTTTATTCTTCAGTGGAAAGATGTGCCTCTCAAGTAGCAAGCCCTTCCAGGACATAGCAGCAGATATTTCTTATTCTGTAGCTACAGAACCTCTTACTGTGAAGAACTGTGTAAATTTCACCAGCTTAGTCAGGTTACCATTTCGTGGTGTTATAATGCCCTATAAGTGAACTCAGCAACCCATAGCATCTTGCTTTTCCTGTGAGTAGAGGGAATGTCTATGTCTGAATCCAAATCAACAAATAGTCTCCCTGGATCTTTTTGCTTTTTCAGCAAGATCTTATACAACTCACTTCTACAAAATACTTGACTTGGCCTTAACATCACATGAGTTCCTTAGCTTTGTGTAGTGCTTGGGAACTGGTTCTGCTCTGTTAAAGGAAAAGCCTGTGGTGCTAAGCAGCAGTTCCTGGTTAAGATTCCAGGGAAAATGTTAGCAGGATTGTCTTCTAGGTTCACATGTACCTGTATCAGAAGTATTTTCTCTTATGTGTCCAAAGTGAAGTCACTTGGAACGTAAATACTGTTAAAGGTAAAAACATCAAGTTTAGACATGAATTATTTCTATCTGGTCAAGCTACATCATATGTCTAAATGAAAGGAGCCTAGAAGGATTACCATAGATAACAATCTGACCTTTAGGATGTCATCTTGGGCCCAGTGTGGAGAGGTGTGAGGTAGCGATTTCTTCTGCTGCCTTTTTGCTTCAGCTTGTGCACACTCTCTGTACTCTGTGAACTTGGTGGTGTGGTGTATCTGCTTGCATTGTAGGACACATTCATCTCCTTTGTAATACTGATATGAAAAAATAAATTTTACCTATTTTTGAAGAAGACTGATATGTTATTTGGATGAAAGAAAAAAGCCAAAGTAATCACAGAAGAAAAGAAAAATCAATCTGCATTAGGGAAAGGGCTCATGTACATTTACCAGTGGGTATTCTTGAGATGAGGATGTGTGTCAGCCACATAGATGTTCAGTCTCCTGTGTTTTTATAACATTACATTCTTCTTTTTTGTTCTTCACACACGTTTGTCAACATGAGATAAACTTCAAAGCATCTTGTTGAAAGCATAAGTGACTTTTAATGTGCATATAAAATGACTTGCCTAGCATCCCTCCGGACTGAAATCTCTTTATTTTCTAGACCTTACCACTGAAGAAGATTCCTTGCAAAGCCAGTGCACCCTCGGGCTCCTTTTTTGCCCGAGACAACACAGCCAATTTCCTATCCTGGTGCCGAGATCTGGGAGTTGATGAAACATGCCTTTTTGAATCTGAGGGCCTAGGTATGTACTTCCTTCAAGACTTTAGCTGTCGGGTATCATCACTGCCATTTCTTCCAGTGTATCCATCCACCATAGTTTTTGTGTGCTGTTATTTTTCAAATTGTTTTCAAGAAGTCAAGGTAAATTCAAATATCGAAGCTGTAAACAGGTCAAGGTAGAAAAATACACCTGCTGTCTTACTTCTGGTCAGCTGGTTCGTAAAATACAGGGATAGAAGTGGCAGAGCATTTTGCAGCCAGAACAGAGTGAGACCAATACAAACTGGATGGAGAACTGGAGTTTTACCACTAGGCTCTAACTAATCTGTACTTGGAAGGTAACTTATGCTCCACCAAGAGAGGATAAGGTGTGGCTACCTCTGTGAAGGGTGAACATTTCAGTTCTGCCTGTCGTGACTGAAGGTTGCTGGTTTATGTATCTAACTGGTTTTGGGTTAAAAATCAGGTATGCATAAGGGATATTAAAGTAACAGAGATGACAGACACCTCAGTGAAAATACCTTCCCAGGTTGCTGTTTCCTGAGGTTTTATCTTCTGATTGAATTTTGGCAATTCCATTTCCAGACCACACAGTGAGAGGCTTAATTGCTTGGAAGGAAACACATGACATATTGAACTAGCAAGTGGTTCCATACTGTCTGACACTCGGGGATTAAATGTCCAAGCTCACTGCAGAAGTCCCTCTGCAATGTAATTCTAACTGCAGAAGTCCCTCTGTAATGCAATTCCAACATGGAGAATATTGGAATTAAATTGGCCCCAGCAAAGTATAACAAAGTGAAGAATGGGGACATCTAATGGGAAAAGGAAAAGCTTTGGCCTTTTTGTCTAAGGTTCTCAAAATCAATTTACCAAATCATATAATACCAAATATTATCATTAAAATAAACCAAGCATTCTTCAGGGGAATAAGTATATAAACTACCTTCCAAATAGTTAATAGAGCCTTTGTCCCTAAGCTTTGGATAATAGTATTTCTCTGCTAAACCTAGCAAACTCACAGTGATGGTGGGAACTTGACATTTCATATGCTAAGGCCGTTTGTGTCTGTTCCAAGGTGAGGGAATGAGACATGAAAATGATGGTCACTAAGTGTCTGCGAAATTTCTCAGCAGGGAAGAGAAGGTATTCTAAATTTAAGAGAAGGATGAATGAGAATAATTAGACAGTAATTTGGCACATACAGAAGTGTGCTCCCTGAAGGTTTATTGAACAAGTGGGCTTTGATTGATTGTTCTTGGTGACAGGTGTGTGCATCTGTTGAAGCTACTGTCCCTTCAGCTCAATAGCAACTTTACAAGTAGGTTTTTAACTTGTAGGCATTTAGAATTATGAAATGAAGATTATAGAAAGTAAATGGAGAAGAATGGTTTGAAAGCACACACTGTCTCTACAGCTGTGGTCAGTCAAGTGTCAGTTGTGAAGAAGGCATCCTGTGTCTCACCTGTGTATGGAGACAGTTAACCTCATGCTTCAAATTATGAACTGACAAAGAATGGCTACATAGAAGAAAGTGCTTTACACTTGCATGAATTCATGACATTGTTGATTGTACAGACTTCCATTAAACATTTACTATTTTTTCAGTTATAATAGAAAACCAAATGGGTTACAAAAGCTCTGAATATCTCCATGGCCTTGGCTTGGTTTTCTCTGAGCCTGTGAGTCATTTTGTTGCCTGGACAAATAGGACTTTCCATAGAATTTAGCAGAAGTCAGTGTGGTACCAGATTCCTCCCTGGAAATACCACTGCAATTCACATTTGTGATGTCTTTATGCTCTGAAACACTCAACTCAATCTAAGTCATAAATAATACATTTTATACTGAAACTGTAGACCTAAAGCAATTTATCTAGTGACCTTGCTGTGCAACTGTACAGTTATGTAAAGAAAAATTAGATACCCTGTATCTTCCTGTTTATAATAGAAGGTGGTATTATGAAAAGAAAGTCCATGATAATTTATATATAAAAATTTACTACATAGTCTGTTCCTTAAATATTTGGGTTTTATTTGGTTTTTTATCTTATCTTGTAAATTTAAATTAAAAGGTGCTTAAACATCCAAGCAGATTCACTACATCTAAAATTTCAGCCTTTTAAAATTCAAAAACTATTTTTAAGATCAGTACCAAACTAAGTCTGATAATCAGGCTTTCTGTTTTGCTGCTCAATTAAAAATATATTTGAAATTTCTGGTGCTCAGAGTGTGTAGAAGGAGATGTATTATAGGCCCTTGGGATCCAGTAAAAAAGGGTCAATATTATAGCATTGATTTAGGATTAGTTGGAGAAAGGAAACAGCTGGGCCCGTGGATATTAATGACAATAAAGCGGAAGGACAAAGAGAAATCTCATTTCCCAGAGGAGCCCTTTCTCCCTGGGTGTTTTTATTATGCACTGTGTTGAGGAGGCAGCAGAGCCAAGCTGCTGGCCTTGGCCTTGGACTTTTCCACAACAATAGTGCTGTGTGCTCTGCTTGATGTCTTTCATGCTTCACCTTTGAAAGGGAATTTAGGGCAAGGTTTTTCTTTTTCTTTTTTTTTTCTACTTCAAGATTTCATTTCAGTGGTTCTCAGTGAAAAACATCCTTTGTGTCCTAGTGTTTTGAACAGAAAGTAGAGTAAAAAGATGCCTGATGGAGGGGGGGACTGTGTCTGAGTGAGTGATAAACTAGATCACAGTGCTGCCCATGTGAAGAGGCTTCTGTTCGCGGTGCTCAGAGGGCACACAGGAAGCCGCCTTCTCTCCAAAGCAGCCAGTAGCTGCCCTGTGCAGCAGCCCTCTCCTGCGGTTATTTCTCAGAAGTTCTCCACTGCTTACAGCTGATTCAATCTGGGTTTTTTTTTTCCCCAAAACTGTAAATGTCAAGAAAATCCTCAAGTCTGAGTGTTGGGGGCATATAGGGTGAAATGGGGAGGGAGTGTGGCAGCTACCAGCTCCAGGTGCCTCTCATGTTTGTTGCATTTCTGATTCTTGGAAGAGAATATTGTACAGCACATAGTACAAAAAGGAAGTGATCTGCAGGTCATCCTATTGTTGTTGTTGTTGTTATTATTATTATTATTATTATTATCATTATTTATTATTATTTAAAACAGAGTCTCAAAGAGCCTCGAGGGACTCAAGCTGGCTTTGAACTTGCTTTGTAGCTGAGAATGACCTTGGGCTCTGGATCTTTCTGTCTTAGCCTCCAAAATGCTGGGTTTATATATATCAGCCACCACCCTTGGCCTGCTTTAACTCTGAGAGTCTGAGGGAGAATTTTCTCCTGTAAATGTCAATTTTATATAATACGATATAACTGTACTCAAACGTGCCTTCAAAAATGAGCAAAGGAGAACAGGGACAAAGGCCATGAGTACTGATAACAGGTTAAGTTAACCAGTAAACTGAGATACAAAATCATAGAATATGCTGGAAAATGTTCCCAACACTTCAGCAGTGGTAATAGGTGAATATTATCCAAAATAATTAATGAAAAGTTAAGAAAAGCCTGCATGTAGGATTCCTGAGTATATTGCTGAATAAAGTTATTATGGTCTTTAGATAAAGTTGCATACATTAACAGATTTTTAAAAAAATTTCTACTGACTTCTCTGAAGAAAATTGTAAAAGATGGAAAGCCCAATGCCCACTGACACATTTTAAAAACTAAAAATACATATCCCTGACATTCAAAGATATTTTCTACAAGCTGTCATGGTATCTCGAGGCTATAGAGTCCGGGTGACTGAGAACTGTGTAGAACCCTGCCACAGAGGCTGTGTTTCTGCACCCCGTGCAGCTGTCGCACTGATGATGTCCATGTGGTAGCTGCCCTGACCTAGCTGATTCTTTACACAGATGGTAGCCTTTCTAGATGCCTTCTCAGTATTTGTGCTTGTGCTTCACATGAAAAAGATGGCCATAGGTATTTCTTTGAATTTAAACATGTGCCATTCATAAGCCTAGTATCAAAACAATTCTCTATTTATTATTTTAGTGAGTTTTAAAACATGGAATAAAAAACAAGTTAGAAAGCAGTAAAATATTTATATTTTTTATTTCAAAAGGTTATTAGATATAAAGATTATTAGACTATATTTGTCAGTAGTCCTTCCATCAGTAATTGACATGTTTTCAAATGTCAGTTTAGATATTTTAACTACCTTTAAAATGACATTGGTTATTTTTACTTGACTCATTTTATAATTTAAAGTCAGAAATATTTGATTTATTCCCAGCTTAAAATATTTTAAAATTATGTCATAAATTGGTGCTCTTGTGTGATTTTTCTAAGGCTTATTAATGTTTAATACATTTTTCTGAAAAGTGATGCTTTTATTTATAAGGAGTATTATATGCAACTAACAAAAGAAAACTCATTGAGAATATGTCAGCTCTCCCCCACCCCTGTGACATGTTTGATTTTTCTCTGTTTGTGAATTTTCATTATCTAGGAGGTAGAGGGGTGGGTCAGGGAAACTCTAAAAGCACACAGATTGCTTGCAGTACTGGTGTCAATATCAACATGTTGTTGACTGATTGTAGGACCTGGAGCGCAATGACTGTTCATCTGTTTCTCAGAGAACGAATCTGCCCACCGAGAAACGGGTTTGCTGTCTGCTGTGTAGCATGCACTATGTGACCCATGTGACTGTCACCCTTTTAAATTCTGATTCGCTGGCTGTGCCTGTGCTTGTTGTGTGGTTTCTGTTCTTTCCATGCACCATTGTGACTAGCAGAGCTTTTCACAAAGCCTGTGATCTATGGTTCCAGACATTCTCCATAGCAAATCTATGGCCTTACTAAAGTGAGATGGACTCTCTGGGGTTCAGGAATAACTGTCCCCAATCTATACTGCTTGGTCACTGGCTGCATCAGAAAAACAATACTTGATGCCTGCATCCCTTGTGTGATATGCCCCCTGTTCTTGTTCCTGTTTTTGTCTGTATTAAAAACTAAGAATATGTCTGTGGGCTAAATCAAGTCAATATTGTTATTAGTCTATTGTTATGA